TGTCTTAAAAATGTTGTGTGTGTGAGCGTGAGTTTGTTCTTTCAAGTGCTTTTCCTTAGCTGTCTTGAGAAAGCGTTTTCTCGCACCTGTGTGCATCAGCCTGTCCAGCTCGTTTTCATGTCTTTTGGCTCAGTCACCAGTGACCAGTTTACTGTTGCTTTTATCCGCGCCAAAACTCTCCCTAGTGATCGTTTTGCACTCATCAAGTGGTTTTACGGCCTTGTGTTGTGTGCCTTTTCACTTCTGAAAGTTTCGGTNCAAAACTCTCCCTAGTGATCGTTTTGCACTCATCAAGTGGTTTTACGGCCTTGTGTTGTGTGCCTTTTCACTTCTGAAAGTTTCGGTTTTCCCCAGTCCTTCTTCAGAGTGGCGATCACTGCATTTAAATTGTAAAACGGCTAGTTAGCTGCAGAGTCGTTTGCATCTGCTATCATTCATGTGCGTACATGAATCTAATCAAGCGCAACATTTCAGTTAGGAAAGAGGTAATTCAATACCCACTTTTCAATCAACGCCAAGTTCAGCTTTCGCGTTGGCGTTGGCATCGAATCATTCTTTCCTGATCCAGTTTACACCGGTAATTGTCGTACCACGTCGGCTATCTTTGTACGGCAAACTTTCCTGCTTCCTTGTCTTCCTTGTCGGCGTTCTTCTTTGCCTTCCTCACTCGAAAGATGTGCCACGGCATCATTCGGCATTTTCACACTCACACACAATCTCGTGAATGCATCACAGTTTCTGATTAGTTATCACCCCCACCAGCTGTTCTATTGCTAGCAACATCGTCTTTGATGCGCCATTGGGCTGGGTATTTAAAACGAAATGAGCCTCTTCAAGTGCTAGCAGTTCATTTCCTTGCTTGTTTGCTGTAAACCACAGCTTTTCAATCAACATTCAACCAGCACTGACTGATTGCTTAAATCATATACAGTGAATTTGCGTACCTTTACTTCAACTCTCACCTTTTCACTTCTTTCCCCTCTTTGCATTTTTTACCTAGACTTTCTGCGACCATGTGGAGCACCACGAACAAGCTGAAATCTGACGCCAGCCTCTTGGAGAAGTACATGTCGCTGGAGCAGCCGGCGGACAAGGTGCAGGCGATGTACGTCTGGATCGACGGCCAGCAGGGCCTGCGCTCCAAGACGCGCACTCTGCCCGCTGTCCCGGAGAGTCTCGCCGGCTATCCCAAGTGGAACTTTGACGGCAGCTCCACGAACCAGTCGGAGGGCAGGAACTCCGACGTTTATCTCAACCCAGTGAAGGTGTACCGCGATCCGTTCCGAGGCGATCCCAACAAGTTGGTCCTCTGTGAGACCATCTCCTTCGACGGGAAGCCAACAACGAGCAACACTCGTCGTTCCTGCGAGCAAGTGATGAACCAGGTGGCTGATCAGGTGCCGGTATTCGGCATTGAGCAAGAGTACTCTCTGCTGGATGGAACACACCGCAAGACCCCTCTAGGCTGGCCGATTGGCGGCAACCCCGGCCCCCAGGGCCCCTACTACTGCGGCGTCGGCGCCAACCGAGTGTTCGGTCGCGACGTCGTCGAGGCTCACTTCCGCGCCTGCATGTACGCAGGTGTGAACATCTGCGGCTCGAATGCCGAGGTGATGGCCTCGCAGTGGGAGTACCAGGTACCAGCTGGAGTACTGATTATCACTTCAATGCCCTTCAATGATTCTCATTTCTTACTTTGTATTGCATTCTTCTCTCCATAGGTTGGAAAGTGCGAAGGCATCTCCATT